AAAGCGCTCACAGTCGGGTTATTTGATTCGTTTGTTTTTATTCACTTAATTGTCTATTTATGCTCGTTTCAAATTTGTACATGCTTTCGAGATTTACAAACTTTCATAAAGTCAACACTTTGAAGTACAACTTAAATGTAGTAACGTCTGTATATACACCAACGAAGAAGCCTTTAAACTCCAGAAACAATTGTCATTTCCTCCGTATCACGGTCATTCGTTGTCACAGTCACGCATTATCACGCCAACACTTCTATACTGTGATCGACCGTACTTACACATTTTAAGGGCAGATGGTGTGACTTATAATTATTATATTCTTCATTACTTTCATCAGACTACTGGAATTATTGTAAAATACTTGCTATTGAGCTACATAGTAGCAAAATTTCCAAAACTTTTTAACGCAAAAATCGTTAACTTGACATACCAATTTGCAGTATATAATGCGCAACTTAATGTGACTATGGACGAGACTACACGATCTTAAACGTGTAGACGACACTTGGTTCGCTGCTAGTTTCGCTTTTCGATTGGGTGTCGTAAACCAAAACTAAAGTTATCACAACGGCCAATCAGAAGGAAGATAATTACCCTGAACATCCAATGATAACTCGGAGTAAAAACCAACCAAACTGCCTTAAGCTGGGAAACTGAAGCGACCGAGACGTGATGGACTTAGTTTTGCATCTGATTGGTTTAGAGAATGGCGCGAGTTTTCTGGACCAATCGCAGAGAAAAGTGAGGTAAAACCAACGAAATCCTGGATTACTTTGGACACTCTAAAAGCTAAAAGCTAAAACGCCCCAATTACGCTCGTTAACACACATCACTCTTTGGATGGGATACCTGCTTTTATATTACGAACTATTCTTTATTCTATGGGAACAATGAAATGCAACCGCTGTTGATTACGGAGTTCATTTTGGGAATGAAGTGAAAGCGAACTTTTCTCACCTGTGTTAGTTCACAGGAAGTTTTCAACTTTTGAATCGCCGAAATGGCGATGCTTAATCTGACAATTACTCGTTCATAAATATTTTGTCACGGTTATGAAATATCTCTTTGAAGACTGGGAGAACTCAACTCAACTCAACTGATTTCAACAGTAATTCTCTTGTACTTCATAGCGCACGTTCCAAGGTTTTTACTATACAGCTGTCAGTCATACTCGCTGAGGAGAAGTCACATAACCGGCAATGAGGTGATGTCAATAATCTCGTCCAACTTCCTTCGGTCTCCTCTGAAAGTATGATATATCTTTTTACAACAAATTTTTGTGGCCTAACGGATCAGTCTGTTTCTAATGATGTTCAGATGCTTGGAACACAACCGAACTGTAACATACTTTAGGATTTAATCGTTCGTGTCAACAACGTGATTATTTTGCAACGGTTAACGGAAAGAGGTGGCGACGCCCTCCTAAACCTAAATTCTCGCGTGGTGAGTTCCTCGCTTATAAAAAATTTCTAACGATGCAAGAATCAAACCAGTGAAGGTGTGGAAGGCTCAACAATAGCTACCACATGGTCAAACTGATTTCACCGTATTGTGAGTCCCAGCGATAGAATGCCCGATCCATCCCTTTGCTGATCTGCAGCAGACATCTCCATTTTCCGTGATGGCTGAGCGCTGTGGTGACATGTGTAAAAGTTTCCGACTCCAATCGATTCTCCTCTTTGAACTTGTAGATTTTGTGGCCAGTTTCGTTTGGAAGGTACGCCATTCGTCGGCGGTGAGCGCAACGGAGACGGTAGAACAAGGTTACAGAATCGTCATTCACCCAGTCTCCTGTAAGTGGAAGAGGAAAAAGGTCGGAAAGATAATTAGCTCGACATTCAAGCTCTTAGTGGCTCAGTGGTAGAGCATCGGAGCGAAAATCCCTTGTACTCGTCTTTTAGACTTTTTAATCTCTATTCAGAAGCATAAATGGTTCCTGGCAAACTTTAAAACTTGTACAACATCTCAGTTCTGAATGAGTCGTAATTCAAAGACATAAACTTACCACCAATATGGAGAACATAGGTGACAGGTACCACAACTTTGACTTGAAATTCCCCGTATGCTGAACTGACATCCTGAAACCCTGTCATGGCCTTCTCTGAGATCCAGTGGCCTGAGTTTACGTAAAAGACTTGTGTTGGGACATTTCTTTCACATGTGCATACCTTGAGGATTCGTTCAGACCCAGGGGGCCCCGGTTCACCAGGGCTTCCAGAATCCCCCTTCTCGCCTGTAGGCCCTTGGGGACCCATCGGGCCTCTCATTCCTCTTGGTCCTTCCTTACCCCTCCAACCGGGGATGCCGTCGGTACCATTGATACCCGGTTCTCCAGGTGCTCCTTTTCTCCCCCGCCGGCCCATTAATCCTGATTCTCCCTTTTCGCCTTTGCTCCCTGGGATTCCGTTTAGCCCGTTCCTACCGGGAGGTCCGTTTAGCCCTTGGGGCCCAGGGTGTCCGGGAATTCCTGAAATGAAGGAAATTGCAACATTTATCACAACGCAAGTCGAAGGAAAAGTGTGCCCCAGAATCTCAAAGTATATCGAACATTTTAGCTTTTTTACCCTTTACGGTGGCCAATTTACGTTTTCAATTCAGTTGTTAACACTAAAATTACCTATTTTACTAGTTACTTCGTTTTTAGATTCGAAAGAGTAACATAACCATTCGATAACTGACTTCAAATACGCTAAGAGTTGTGCATCGCCATTTAAGTTTTGGTTTCCAACCTGGCTGCTTCCCTGTAAAAAATGGCTCGATTATTTTTTGCCAAACCGAAATACGGTGAGTTGACTTTTAAATACACTTGAGATAACGATCACATGCCTGTTAAAGAAATCCTCCCCCCCCCCCAGCCTTGTTTGAGCATGTTTAAGTGCCCTATAATGAAACTAACTATAGAAACTTTAAGAAATGCAACTAAAGGGAATGGGTAGGGAACGACGCTGATCGTTCAGCAAGCGACATAAACCCAGAACAAAACGGAAAGGTTGCTCAAGGTTGTTTCGCGATGCCTTTTTCGCCGTATGGTTTGCTTCACATGTTATTGCGAGACAACTTAAGTTTCTTTAAGAAACAGCATCAAATTTTATTGCGTCAAACTCGGATTTTGCAGATTTTATGTTGGAGGAGTTTCAGTTCCATATCCAGCTACCGCCACCTGTATCATGTATGTTAGTTTAAAGTATCACACGCCGGATGTCGGCTTATTTAACTTTTAACTTAGGTGCAAACTTCGTTGCATTACTGATTGAGTTTCGAAATAGGAGGAGCTAATAGACACGGCCAAACCTGACGATATCAACTTGCTTCCTTTAGTTATTCTAAACTAAATAGCCGATATTGGTCTGCGCGGTTTTTGGCGTGAGGTCTTTACTTCTAAGTTTAACTGAGCAATGGATCTATTCCATTCGAGTACGTGAGAATATGTGTTTTTCAAATTTGAGAGTTAATTATGCAAAGATTGGAAGATAAGGAAAGATTAAATCATTTATTTCGCGCAAATTTGATCTCTATATCAATCTGCTCCTTATTTTGACTGAACACTAAGTGATTTGACCATTCTTAAATTGATGGATGCACTTAAAGCTCATTGCAAATAGTAATTAGAACAGTTCCACTGCATAAATACTAAGGAACATGACAGGATGATATATTGTTTAAAAAAACCGCAGATTTTGATGAGTTTTGCCTCAAGCCATGGCATGAGCAACGATTGCCCTTGTGCAAACAGAACCTATCCTTATAAAATGAAATTATTATTATTTTTAAAATGCTGCACACAATGACACTTACAGAAAGTAAACAAGGCCTAAGGGTGTGATAATCACACAGAGCAGAGACACTAAACCAGAAAAAACATTTTGCCTAAGGGTTGTATCCTACTGGCGGGTAAATTGTTTCGTAGCTTCCCGCTAATTTTCCACCGAATAGCAAAGACCTATGAAAGCATGAAATAGCTTTGTACGTAAGCCTATAGACTTTTTGCATTTTTACGAATCATGTGAAACTCAGATAAATAACAAAACAAAACGGGAAAAAATGGCGGAACCAAGTAAAAAATCATGTTTGCCTTCCTTTTCCAGAAAATCGTATAAACGTTCACAGCTGTCTAGTCAACAAGTTTAAAATCCATGTAAGGGGTAACTTTTTTAAACTGTGGTGCTGAGAAGGTGGGGGGTATTAAAAGATGTCTTGGTTTAATCAACTTTGAAATAAAATTAGCCATATTAAGATGAGCTGTTTGTATTGCTAGGTACTTAATCCAAGTAGAAGAGAAAATTGAAACATTTCATGAGCAATATATATCTGATATAGAGACGAGATAATCAGTTAAAAGGACACGGAATATTGTGTGAGGAGGAAAAATCGATCAGTAGGTGATAAACCTGAAGGAAGCAAATCCGAAAAATGTTTTTGTTAATCTGTTGAGGCACGCTTGACCCTAAAAAAAGGTCCAATGTTTGTTGAATGTTAGCATGGGGTTATCACGTTCACCAAAAGTTCCTGAATTGGGTTTAAGTCCTTAGATGTACTACTCAAATTAGAGCGCTTTTCGATTTAGTGTCTTAAGGCCAAAACCAAACTTATTCCAACGGCAAAAGCAAACCGTCTAAAGCGCAGTAAAACGCACGTGACCAAATCGTGATTGGTGTCAGCTTTGAATCTAATTAGTTGAGAGCGTGGCACGAGTTTTCTTGACC